GAAAGCACCAGTTCTCGTCCGATCACTGAAGTTAAGCAACGTCGGGCTCGGTTAGTACTTGGATGGGTGACCGCCTGGGAACACCGAGTGCTGTAGACTCCCTTTTGCGCTGGAGACTCCATTTTGCTGGTATTTTCCCCTGTTTTGCGAGAAAGACCCGCCAGAAAAATTTCTATATAATGTCTACGGCCATACCACGTTGAAAGCACCAGTTCTCGTCCGATCACTGAAGTTAAGCAACGTCGGGCTCGGTTAGTACTTGGATGGGTGACCGCCTGGGAACACCGAGTGCTGTAGACTCCCTTTTGCGCTGGAGACTCCATTTTGCTGGTATTTTCCCCTGTTTTGCGAGAAAGACCCGCCAGAAAAATTTCTATATAATGTCTACGGCCATACCACGTTGAAAGCACCAGTTCTCGTCCGATCACTGAAGTTAAGCAACGTCGGGCTCGGTTAGTACTTGGATGGGTGACCGCCTGGGAACACCGAGTGCTGTAGACTCCATTTTGCTGGTATTTTCCCCTGTTTTGCGAGAAAGACCCGCCAGAAATATTTCTATATGTCTACGGCCATACCACGTTGAAAGCACCAGTTCTCGTCCGATCACTGAAGTTAAGCAACGTCGGGCTTGGTTAGTACTTGGATGGGTGACCGCCTGGGAACACCGAGTGCTGTAGACTCCATTTTGCTGGTATTTTCCCCTGTTTTGCTAGAAAGACCCGCCAGAAATATTTCTATATAATGTCTACGGCCATACCACGTTGAAAGCACCAGTTCTCGTCCGATCACTGAAGTTAAGCAACGTCGGGCTCGGTTAGTACTTGGATGGGTGACCGCCTGGGAACACCGAGTGCTGTAGACTCCCTTTTGCGCTGGAGACTCCATTTTGCTGGTATTTTCCCCTGTTTTGCGAGAAAGACCCGCCAGAAAAATTTCTATATAATGTCTACGGCCATACCACGTTGAAAGCACCAGTTCTCGTCCGATCACTGAAGTTAAGCAACGTCGGGCTCGGTTAGTACTTGGATGGGTGACCGCCTGGGAACACCGAGTGCTGTAGACTCCATTTTGGAAAGACCCGCCAGAAATATTTCTATATAATGTCTACGGCCATACCACGTTGAAAGCACCAGTTCTCGTCCGATCACTGAAGTTAAGCAACGTCGGGCTCGGTTAGTACTTGGATGGGTGACCGCCTGGGAACACCGAGTGCTGTAGACTCCCTTTTGCGCTGGAGACTCCATTTTGCTGGTATTTTCCCCTGTTTTGCGAGAAAGACCCGCCAGAAAAATTTCTATATAATGTCTACGGCCATACCACGTTGAAAGCACCAGTTCTCGTCCGATCACTGAAGTTAAGCAACGTCGGGCTCGGTTAGTACTTGGATGGGTGACCGCCTGGGAACACCGAGTGCTGTAGACTCCATTTTGCTGGTATTTTCCCCTGTTTTGCACCAGCACCAATTCTCGTCCGATTTTTTTTTTTTTTTTTTTTTTTTTTTTTTTTTAGGTCAGAACATGGATAATTCTCTATAGACATTATATTGAAGTAGGTCATTGGGCCCTATCAGCTGATTAATTTTTACGTTAGTTTCTTAAGCGCCCTGTAAAATGGATATTTAATGAATATATTAATTTTAAAGGGACATGTTTGCCAGCCTTTTTTCTAATCGTACCTTTTTCTCAGAAACAGGATTTTTTTTAGCTAAGCTGACCATTAATAATGCTGTGTGTACATGTGTACATTTGAGCCTTCAAATTCATGTGACCAGAATTATTTTTGTTTGAAAGTTTAAATGACGTATCGTCTTTTTTATAGACTTTGCCATATAGAAAAGACATTTATAGAAAAAGGGGAGTAAAATTCTTAGATTGGGGATATTTTTTATCAGGAATCATGCCATTTTCGTATATTTCTAGTACTTAAAGCCTATTTACATATTTTCAAGAGCAATATCCCCCACCCCCTTCCAAAAAAATGGCAATCATGTTCCTTTAAAATTAATTTACACTGTGTGCAACATTGTTGATTTGAGGTCGTTTCAGGCCGTATTGAGCTCTTTTTATTTGACCTTCACGAGAGGATGTTGACTCCAGTTCAGATTTAAAGAAATCTTGAAATCACTTCTACACTAATTACCTTAATTTCGAAAAGTTTTGTTGTTTTATTTCAACTTTAAGAAATGGCTTGAAATGTGATATAAAGACTTTGTTAAAATATTATAGCCTTTGTGAGTGATTCAATACAGCAGTAAAACACCTTCGTTATTTCAACACAAATTTTCGGATTGAAGCAGTTTTTCCTCGACTTATGGCTCTTGTTTGGTAAGTTTGCGGTCCTTGTCTTATTCCTTTTTAGCAGCAGTTTGCAACGCAGGTTAGTCCTTTTCATTACTTGTGGATTAGTATAGACTCTGTCAGCAATTTATAATTGTATTTATTTGGGAAACTAACATTATTCCACTGTCACGCTTTCATTTTTGATTCAGTTCTTAAAGGGATACTACGTCTTAGAATGAACATAAAATTTAAGAATTTTAAACTTGGCTTATAAGAGCATATATTCATCAGTAGATAAACCTGGTGTCATAAATAACATAACAGGATCCTTATATAATCCAATAAATCCAAAAAAACTTGGAAAACGCTTAATATTAACATAAAGCGTTTTTCAATAATTACTTAGTTATATGAATTTTCCAATGTCCCAGATTTTAGAGGTATTCTGTTGTAACTTTATGACACCAGGTCATATAGGGCCTACTGATGATATACTCATATTGACCAATCTTGAGAACTTATGTTCATTCTAAGACGAAGTATCACTTTAATACAAGGTGACAGCTTATCAAGAGATATAAAAGGGAATAAGGAATTAAAAAAGTTGAGATCAAAGCCAGCCACTCATAGCCACCATCTATACAAACAGCCAAATTGTTTACAGACCTTTTTTCGAAGAATCTGATTAGCTAACATATTCAATCAACTCTCTGCATTCACAAACTTCTGTGATACAAGAAAAGTGGATATTGCAGTCAAGATACTAGATTTAGTTGTAACAGCTTGACATTGTTAAGATGTATATACACCTGCACATCATTTTCAATCATAACATCATCAACATCATATTCAAATTATATCCCATATTTTTTTAATAACAACACAATTTCATTTACCGGTAATAACAAATTAATCACATTATTTCCATCATTATAACTCATTTATCACATTATTTCTACTAATATAACTTAATTATCACATTATTTCCCATTATAGCACATTATTCATAGTCATACTAGTCCCCATTACATTAGATAAAATTCAAATAATTAAATCATCCTTGATGAGATTTAGATTTCAAAGCAAAACTTATCCCGGTTCAACTTTGAGAAAAGGAAATTTGAGCTGCAATGGTCCCTCTTTGAAATAACACATCTAAATAACCCATCATATAACATAAAATAGAGATCATCACATAAGTTAAAACATCATGTTCTATGATAATCCCGACCATCTATGTAGATATGAACCCCAGCCTCCAGCTTGATTAGCCTCTTCTTCATTCCCTAGAAAATATGAAAAAATATTCAAAGATTTAAAAAATAGTATGATCAAATGTTTGAAACCTCAATGTGAAAGTTTGCTAAAATTGTCAATAAATTCTAACTGAAGGATACAGAAAATGAAAGATCAATCATTTATCTTGACGCAATTATTTATCAACAAAATTTATCATTTCATTTCATTTCATTTCGTATATATTAAAAGAAGCTATTATTTCAGCCTATCAAAAATAAAGGAAAGTAATCAGTAACAAGACATACCAGCCATTTTGAGTAGGACATCTTTCTCCTCAGCACTTAGTTTAAGCATCTGTGTTAATACTGGAATTAATTGGTGCCTCTCACTTGATTTAGGCTGTAAGAACTACAATAGAAATAAAACTTATTATTCTATCAATCTACATTTGATACATCCTTCATAGAATGCATTATCCAGTTTACCAGCCGATAAGTTTTATAATGCAAATCTGACTTGGAGTTTTTTTATCATACTTAGATTAAGGTCAAGGTGTCTTAAGATGAACCAGCATCAAACTCACAGAAACAAAATCACAGAAACAAATTATTTCGGGATCTTTATTATTTTCTAATCACTTTGTGACATTGGTAATGGTGATTGTTCCAAAAATTGTTCCAAAATAAATAATAATAGCTTAACAAACACCTTTATAAAAATATTTTTCAAATATTCCAGATTCTTGGTCTCCTGTTCCCTTTCTTGATTTCTTTCTAATCTCCTAATTTCATCTTTAAGTATCTTAGCTTGTTCTGTTAATCTCATAACTGATGCTTCACTTTCATTTAAAACCTGTAAATGAAATATTCCAATAAACTTTGAAACCATATATTTGACACAGATTCTTCACCAAAGTAATCAATTCATTAATTTCCAGTTTTAATAAGTCTACAAAGATAGTGTTCAAAGCTCATAGTAGAAATTTGAGCGCTCAAATCCATGTGTGTCCAAAATTATTCTAGTTTGAAAGTTTAAATCAAGGCTCATCTTTTCTTTTCATTTCGCTATTTAGAAAAGACATTTATTGAAATAGAAAGAGGGTTATCTTTGAATAAATTATGTGATTTTCATACAATTCCTGTAGTTATGAATTTACATATATTCAAAATCAACCCCCTATAATGACTGACCTCAGTTAAATGTTCAATACGTTTATGAGCAGTAGTAACTGTTGTTTGTAACATTTCTACATTAACTTCTTCAGGTTTTTTAGCTGAAAATAATGATAATAATTAACATTTCATGACCTAGTCACATTTCAATCTAATTGAAATGCAGTTTTATATATTTCATTTTATATTTCAGTAACAGATCCATGATCTGAGAAAATTGTTATCAACCACAAGTTTAAAGTGACTATATAATCCAACCAATCAACTTTACAAGAAAGAAGTTATTTGGCATATTGTCAGCAAACTGTTATTATATAAATCAGTTATTTATGAGTATTTATCAGTTAAGTGTAAAGGTACATAATTTAAATAGGAAAATGTTTTTGATTAAGTAAAGCATCAATAGTGAAAACTATTATATCAATATACTGATCAGACTTTTATTTCACCTCTCTATAGCACCTATAATTAGAATGTAATAACAGGCTTGTCAAGGAGGTTTTCACGGTTTCAGTTGGCTACTAGTTTTACAGGATTTACCTGGTAGTGGCAGCAGCAGCCTTCCTAGACTGGGGGTACAAATAGGGGGCAGACTGACTTAATGAGGGGACATCTGCTGAAGCTGAATTCAAATTTTGGCTACTCTGTGGTGGTTTCATAGTCGAAATCCTCTAATAGAGCGTCTTAGAGGGGCTCTCTCAGAAATTTTTAGAAAAAATGAATTGATTTTGTGCATTCTGACACATATTTTGTAGAAAAGGGTAGACATTTAGATTTGTTGAAACAAAAGTGGGGGTACAATTGGGGGTGCAAACCACTTTTCTAGGGGTACCCCCACTGGCGCCGCCACTGTTACCTGGTTATTAGAATAAAATTTAACTTATCTAATACAGTTACTAAATTATAACATAACTTACCTAATTCTAAGTCTGGTGTAGTAAGTAATTGTTCAAATGATAAACCAGTGTTATTACCCTGTACAGTATTCTGAAAGATATAAGAGTCAGTGGTATAGGCCTTCCTCATAATCTTGACACTAACTTTGATTAAATGTTTGCACTTTTAATACCTGTATCTAGCTTGCTTTGTATGTTTAGAATTTAACACACATTAGAACAAACTAGAATATGATTTAACCTCACTCTAGCACCTAATATTAGATTATAATACCAGGCTTGTCAATAGGAGGTTCAACTAAATTTTATTATCCATGGAAATTGATAAAAAGATTTGAACAACAACACATACATGATCAAAAATTATGCACCATATGCCTGCACTTAATGACTTTTACGCATTTCTGTTTCTATATACAATGTAATGGGTTCAGGTCACCTATGCCTTCAACATAAAATGTTAGGGAAATAAAATATTGAAATACTACCTTCTGACAAACATCTTCAACTATCTCTGAACCCTACAAGAAAATAATAAAGTTTAGTTATATATGTATAATCTGATTGGATTTGTTCACATTTGTTTCATTAAGTGTATAAACACCTACAGATCCTTTACAAAATAGCAAATCTATGCTATACTTTTTTTTACAAGAACAATTCAAGAACAATATGCCATACAAGTGGACATGCAAAGTTTGGTTTATGAATACATTTACATGTTGTACATGTAGCTTTGACAGCGTCATATGATGATGTAGCACCCTTTGCCTTCTAAAATACATGTAACATGTACATGTAACAATTGCAGTGCATACAATTACAAATGATAATAGGCACACATTCAATTCAATTCAACAAAATTCTTACCTCTCCCTCTTGCCTTTCTTCACCTCTGGCATCCATAAAGAACTCTTGAGGTGATTCTCTGGGCTCTGTATAATGCTCTGTAGAACGTCTCTGTTGATGTATTTGTTGTAATTCTCTCTGTAAACGCATATTTTCTAAGTCTAATGTATCACACTGTTTTTGTAGTAATAACAAGGAACGACTGTGATCTTCTTGTAACATCTTTAACTGATCCTATAAAATACATATTAAACTAAATATTAAATTCAATAAAGAAATTTCCTCAGAGGACATTTTGTGTTATTTGGTTGCATATAGATCCATTGGCCTATGTCATAAGTAGAGAATTTTCAGTTAAACATGATGTAGATGAATATACTGATCTCCAAATATTTCTTGCACACAAACTTGTACTTCAATTTTCATTCGCCTTCAGGGGTGGACACAATCTATGCCTGTTTTAATCACCTGGAGCTGACCAAAATATTTGTAGACTGTATAATTTTACACTACAATTTACCTTATAAGAAGTAGCCAAAGAATCATTCTGTATTGTTAATTGTTTAATAGTATCTTGTTGTTCTAATATACTCTTACTCTTCTCATTTGTTAAAATTTCTAGTCTAAAATACAAGACAATATTCAACTAAATACCAAGGAGCACAAGAAATTCAAACCATATTAATACAAATGTGATTAAAACTTGAAAATTTCTAAGGAATTCCAAAGACATCAAATGCTGTCACTGCTAATATTTAGATATTGATACTAACATTAATAAGAATTAATCAAGACTAGCCATACATCTTTAAAGATATTTCAAGTTACCAGTTTTCTAAAAATGGCAATTAGTTTTCAATAATTTCACGGTCATAGAAATAATAAATGAAAAATAAGATAATTTTAAATTCCTTTGGACTAAATTCCTAATCCAAATTATTCAATTGAAAAATCAAATTACCTTCTTTTATAGTTGGATGCTTTCTCTTCCATATCAGCTAATAATTTATTATGTCTTTGTAACAACCTTTCATATTCTTCTTGTAATATATCACTATCTTGTTGTATTATAGTCATTTTATCACTGTAATGTAATAATAATGTTTTCTATCTTGTTGTATTATAGTCATTTTATCACTGTAATGTAATAATAATAATGTTTTCTATCTTGTTGTATTATAGTCATTTTATCACTGTAATGTAATAATAATGTTTTCTATCTTGTTGTATTATAGTCATTTTATCACTGTAATGTTATAATAATAATGTTTTCTATCTTGTTGTATTATAGTCATTTTATCACTGTAATGTAATAATAATGTTTTCTATCTTGTTGTATTATAGTCATTTTATCACTGTAATGTAATAATAATAATGTTTTCTATCTTGTTGTATTATAGTCATTTTATCACTGTAATGTAATAATAATGTTTTCTATCTTTTGTATTATAGTCATTTTATCACTGTAATGTAATAATAATAACGTTTTCTATCTTGTTGTATTATAGTTATGTTATCACTGTAATGTAATGTTTCAATTTTGTTGTATTATAGTCATTTTATCACTGTAATGTAATAATAATAATGTTTTCTATCTTGTTGTATTATAGTTATGTTATCACTGTAATGTAATGTTTCAATTTTGTTGTATTATAGTAATTTTTTCACTGTAATGTTATAATAATAATGTTTTCTATCTTGTTGTATTATAGTTATGTTATCACTGTAATGTAATGTTTCAATTTTGTTGTATTATAGTAATTTTTTCACTGTAATGTAATAATAATAATATTTCTATCTTGTTGTATAATATTAATCTTATCACTGTCTTGAAATATATATTCAGAAAGGTATTCAAATGATAGACAGAAACAGTCAAAAAATAAGATATCTGCAGAATAATTCCATAATGTTTTACTTGTGTACAGATCAGATTTATCAGAGAATTCACTGAGTATTAATACTGAACAGAACGAATTGATTTAACCTCACTCTAGCACCTAATATTAGATTATAATACCAGGCTTGTCAATAGGAGGAAAAAATAAAAAAAGATAACAATCCACTTTTTTGTTCTGAATTGTCTAACACAAATAAGCATTGTTGTAGGAAATTTTGCTACAACATAAACAGAAACATTGGCCAACTCTTTGTTGATTTCAAAAACAATTCGACCGATTTCCCTGAGTGGAACCGGCTACTATCAATAGGCTTAAATATTAAGAATAAAACTCCTTTTAAATACTACAGCAATTTTAGCATTGATTAATAAATGAAATTATAGCAGGAATAAATACTGAAACTGACCTTGATTCCTGTAGTTTAGTCTTCAACTGATCTACAGCTTTCTCTAACCTTAATCTGTAATTAAAACAATATCATCACATAATCAAGCAACTTTTCGTTATTATTTTCCCTACAATCCTGCCTATTTTAAGATATTCAGATATTCAAAATCTATGGGTCATCATTCAGGGGTCACCTAAAGCTTTTATTTTTGTGGGTTATCGCAGAACAAATATTGAAACTTACTTTTCTTCTTTTTCTATATCAGAATTCATATCTTGTGATGGTTTATTTTTTTGTTGTTTCAGTACACTGTGTGCTCTAACCTACAATATTATCAAAGGTTTCGTAATGGAAAAAATATAGTTGGTACATCATAACAAAATAATTCCAGAGACCAAATGTCAGGCTGGAGTTTTACAGCTTAAATAAAGATAGCTTGCGTTGCAAGGTAACATACGCCCACTGGCAGCTGTCAGAAAAAATAAAACGGTCTTTAGTGACGAATATTCATGCTGAATAATTCCACAAAATTTTTTAAAATCAATATCAATAACCCAAATACAACAAACAATTAAATCACACAGCTCTAATCAAGGGCAAAAAACAACTTTTAACGCGTTTTTCAAATGTTAATGGCATTAACTCAAAAACATTTCATCGAAAATGCGTCAAGTTAGAACTTGTCCGAGATCTTATCAATTTCAATGATCACACCAAGTTTCATCCGAATCGGTTGAAAACTGTTGCTTCTATTGTGCCCACGAACAAATTTTGACGTGTTTTTACAAAGTCAAGGGCAATAACTCAAAAACCGTTCATTGAAAATGTGTCAAGTTAGAACTTTTCCGAGATCTTATCAATTCCAATGATCACACCAAGTTTCATCAGAATCGGTTAAAAACTGTATCTTCAATCCTGCTCACAAACTATTTTTAACAAATTTTGACGTGTTTTTACAAAGTCAAGGGCAATAACTCAAAAACCGTTCATCGAAAATGGGTCAAGTTAGAACTTGTCCGAGATCTTATCAATTCCAATGATCACACCAAGTTTCATCAGAATCAGATGAAAACTGTAGCTTCAATCCTGCTCACGAACAATTTTTAACAAATTTCAAGGCGTTCTAAGTCAAGGGCAATATCTCAAAAACCGTACATCGAAAATATGTCAGATTCGAACTTGACCGAGATCTTATCAATCTAAAGCATCACACCAAGTTTTATCAAAATCAGATAAAAACTGTAGTCTCTATAGTGCTCACAAGAAATGTTGACCGACGGACCGACGGACAGGGGCGACGACAATATACGACCACATATTCATGTGGGTGTATAAAAAGTGACAGCAAGTTTAACACCAATTCTATAATACAAATTACCGTACAACATACATAGGCACATTTTGTGTGTCGTGCTAGATAATGTTTTGACCTCTTGTATTGATCCATCTTAAAAGCCAACTTCCAGGGTCATTTTGAATCATGTTCAAACTGACTTATTTCATGGGTGGCTTATGACTATGATGGCTTTTTTCAAAGGGGGTTCAACAACACTGTAAACAAATTTCTCAAGACAGTAAAATCACCATATACTTTTGCAACAACTCTGACACTGATGCATTAAACCATATCAAAAAATCAAAACTGAGAAAATATACCTTATAGCTATCAAACTCAGTCTGTATAGCTGTTAATTCACTTCTAGTAATGTCTAAATCATCTTGTAATGTTTGGTTTCTACTTTCTAATGATTTCATTGTTCTCTGATGTCCATCATTGATAGAACGTAATTTATCTTGTAATCTCTGCTTCTCTCCACTTAATTCACCTATTTGCATCTAAAATTACAGATCAGTTCAAACATTGACTGTTATAAATATCAAATTATTACTTAAATAAAATAACCTCTTAACAAATTTAATGATTACTTTATAAATAAAATGATTACTTTATAAATAAAATGATTACTTTATAAATAAAATGATTACTTTATAAATAAAATGATTACTTTTCAAATTAAATGATTACTTTACAAATAAAATTATCACTTTTCAAATTAAATGTTTACTTTACAAATAAAATTATCACTTTTCAAATTAAATGTTTACTTTACAAATAAAATTATTACTTTTCAAATTAAATGATTACTTTACAAATAAAATTATCACTTTTCAAATTAAATGATTACTTTACAAATAAAATTATTACTTTTCAAATTAAATGTTTACTTTACAAATAAAATTATCACTTTTCAAATTAAATGATTACTTTACAAATAAAATTATTACTTTTCAAATTAAATGATTACTTTACAAATAAAATTATTACTTTTCAAATTAAATGATTACTTTACAAATAAAATTATTACTTTTCAAATTAAATGATTACTTTACAAATAAAATTATTACTTTTCAAATTAAATGATTACTTTACAAATAAAATTATCACTTTTCAAATTAAATGATTACTTTACAAATAAAATTATTACTTTTCAAATTAAATGTTTACTTTACAAATAAAATTATTACTTTTCAAATTAAATGTTTACTTTACAAATAAAATTATTACTTTTCAAATTAAATGATTACTTTACAAATAAAATTATCTCTTTTCAAATTAAATGTTTGCTTTACAAATAAAATTATCTCTTTTCAAATTAAATGATTACTTTACAAATAAAATTATTACTTTTCAAATTAAATGTTTACTTTACAAATAAAATTATCACTTTTCAAATTAAATGATTACTTTACAAATAAAATTATTACTTTTCAAATTAAATGATTACTTTACAAATAAAATTATCATTTTTCAAATTAAATGATTACTTTACAAATAAAATTATACTT